CTGGGCACAGGTGTCCCTGGAAGCTTGGCATTGGGCACCGCAAGAGGGCGCTGTCAGAAAGTCTTCTGTGCAGTGGGTGTGACTGGGACGCTCCTGTCCTCCCACACACCGACGACTCAAGGACTGCAGAGAATTGTGACCTTCTTACCCACCCAGCACCCAGCACCCAGCACCCAGCTCCTCCCCCGTCATCCTCACCATTTGGTGGGCAGGAACCACGGAGCCCAGTCTTGTCCCCGATTCCTCTGTGATCATGGAAAGCTGTACATGGCCGCTGGAGGAAACTGAGGCTTGGGAGGTTAAGGAGCTTGCCCAGGGTCATGGGGCTCACATACAGCGGATGCAGCATTTGAACCCAGGCCTTGTGGTCTAGAGCACAGGCTTTACATGTGCCACTCTTGTGCTAGGCCTCAGGCCAGGTCCGGAGGTGAGGGTCATCGGTGGCCAGCAGGGAAGGAAAGGGCTCCATGCCCTGCTGGACAGGCCCCTGTGGTGTCCAGACCCCTCAGCGCTGCCAGTGGGGTGTTGAGAACGTGTGATGTGTTTTGGGCACGGTGGGCACCAGCCTGGGCATTGCAGATGATGCTGTCAAGACAGTGAAGCTGAACAGCTGTCAGGCCAGGCCTGCTCTGCGCTCTGGACTTCCCAAGGGCCGGGTGTCCCTGGGCACGGCTGTGAGTGCCCCAGCAAACGGGCAGAGGCAGGCTCCTGGCCTGGGCGCCGAAGCTCACCTGCATCCCTTCTGCCATGGGCCAGGGGCCAAGCCACTCCAGAGTCCAGACTCCGGGGAAGGGATGCAGGTGCTCCGTCCTCAGGGCGAGGGCAGAGAGGGCAGAGAAGGATGGCTGGGTCTCTTCCTGGCAAAGCCAGTTCCGGACTCAGGAGAGAAAGCCACCAGAGGCAGAGGTGCTGCGCTGCCTCCGGAGATGCCGCTCAACTGTTAGGACCTCGTGAGCACCTGGGGTCGAGGCAGAGAGGTGAGGGCACTCCTGCGGGCCTTTCCCTGGCAGCACCCCGGTCTGGGGACCTGGCTGTCAAGCCTTCACGCACCATGACCCACCCAGCCTGGACCTGCTACGGGAGGAGCTGTGGATGGAGCCCTGTGGACTGTGGCACGGTCTCCACGTGCCTGTGTGTGCAGCTCCCGCCCTTCAAGGGACCAATGGGGTGCAGGATAGCAGCCTCTCAGGCCTGTGGGGAGTGTGCAAGGTTGGGGTACAGGGGACAGAGTCGAGAGCAGGCCTCCTGGTGGCGGGGATGGGTAGTGGAGGGGAGAATGACGCAATTCCCCAGTGCAGACCTGAGGGGTGGGCTGTGGGGCTAGCAGTGATTTTTCGCTTATTTATTGATTTATTTTTGTAGTGCTAGGGATGAGCCTTCAGTGCCAGAGCCTTCACACTGAGCTACATCCCCTGCCCTTTCATGTTTTTGAGATAGGGTCTTGTTGAGTTGCCCAGGCGGGATTTGTACTTGTGATCCTCCTGCCTCAGCCTCCCAGAGTGTTGGAATTACAGCCATGCACCACACTCCCGGCTGACTGTGGTCAAAATGCCTGGTGTTTTGGAGCAGGAGGAGCTCCTCAGACTCTGACTCCCAGAACGACTGCCAAGCACCTCACAAGAGGAGCCCCCTCCAGGGAGAGCCCCGCCCCTGTGCTTTCTGTGGGCCTCCACAGGTCCCTTCTTGTTGGACGAGGTTCCCATATCTGATGGGCTTCTCTTGGCCCTGGAAGGAGCCACAGCTGGAGCTCCTGGGTGTGGGGTGACTGGCTTTCCTTCTGGGGATTGGCTGGCTTGTCCTGGGAATGGCAGGGCCACCTGCCCCAGCCTGCCTGCGGTGCTGGACGGGCAGCTGTGCACTCTCACCGGTGCCAGACATGGGCTCAGAGAGGTCAGTGGTAGCTGCTGCACAGTGGAAGGCAGCAAAGCACTTGACAGCCAAGGGACAGAGCAGCCTGCATGTGAAGTCAGCAGGCGAGTGGAGAGTCGCTCAGCGACTCCACATGTACCACTGGCTTCTGGCCGCAGCAGGTGGACAGGCTCTGAGAAACACACTAGAGGACACCACTGCAACCAGCAGGTCCCTGTAAGCCACAGGAGTTTCTTTCCCTGCAGACCTCAGTGACCCTTCCCACAGCCTTCAGAGGTTAGGACTCGACGTCTTCTGGAGGTTGTTTCCCTGCAGACCACACTCCCCGAGAAGCCTGCCCCAGAGCCGATGGCACGAGCACTTACGTGACCCTTCTGGAAGGCTCTGAAGTGGTGAGGCAGAGCCGAGCCCGGGGCTGCACTTCACTGGGAGGCCGGGACAGTCAGACACTGGGCGATCTCGACACAGCCCAGGTGGGAGCTGTTTGCCTGGCCCTGCTTTAAAGACAGGAACCTGGGCTGAGACAGGAGGATCACAAGTTCTAGCCTGGCCTGGGCAATGTAGAGACTTAGTGAGACTTAGTGTCTCAGTAAATAAAAGGGCTGGGGATACAGCTCATTGTGAAGGCCCTGGGTTCAATGTTCAGGACCACAGGGCAAAAGAGAAGGTGGGGGGTGGGGGAAGCCACAGAGAACTCTGGTGCTTGTTTCCGGCCATAGCTCCTCAGAAGCAGAGCTGGGTGCAAACGGGAGGCTGGCTGTGCCCCCAAGCTGCTCTACATCACACCCGTTGCACCCGGGCAGCCCTGGAGGGAGGCTTTGCCCAGAGAGGTTCAGCCACTTGCCCTGCTCGAACAGCTGGTAACTGGCAGGGCTGGGATTCAAATCCAGGACCTCGGGTCCCAGACGCCCTAACGTGGCCTCTGCAGCCCCAGTTCAAGAAGCACTGTCAAGAGCTTTGCTGCTGATGGTGGCTCAAGTCACACCCTGCGTCTGGCAGCCCATCCTGATGTGGCTCACGGGCTCCTGATGAACTCACCTGGCAGACCTTGTGGCGATGGAGGGCGTGACTTCCGGAGTCCTACTCTGCCTGAGCGCGGCTGGGGGCCCAGCGGCACCTGTGGCCTTGGGGGTCAGTCTATGTCCTGAGGGACGGGGCGGGCATGTGGGAGCCCATGTGGCCTGCCCCGGACCTGCCTGCTGCAGCCCCTGTCTTCTTCCCAGGACTCTTAGCTGACCTGCGTTGTCCCAAGGTGGCAGCTCAGTTCCAGGGCTGGGGGTGGGCTAGAGACCCGGGCCAGCTATGTGATCAGCTGGTGCTGGCCTTGCGTGTGGGCATCGTGGGTCTTTATCGCTGCCAGCAACTCGTGTGCTGTGCATGGGGTGGTGTGGGTATCCCACTGTTTCCTCTCAGAGAGCCCATCAGAGCATGGGAAACTGCCACAGGGATGGGGGCACCGTTTTCGTGTTAAAATAACAAACCAGGTGGACCTGGAGCTGGCATGGGGAGAGGAGGCCACACCTGGTGTCCACAGCTGGGAGAATTCTGTTGTCTCAGAATGTCCCTGAATGCAAGCATGTCCTTTCCAGACTTCCCGCGCTGGTGGGGGGGATCCTGGACTTCCCAGCTCTCCAGCCCCATGTCCAAGGGCATCCTGGCCAACTCCCAGAGCTACTGCATTCCCCCAGCGCAGCTTTGGGCAGGGGCTCTGGGCTCGGGTGCCAGGTGAGGGAGGGCCGCCCATGAAGCATCAGCACCCCGCACCTTCCCCCATGGAGCTGTGCCAGTCCAGCCCCACCACCCCTCCTGCTGCTCTCCAGGTTCCAGTTTACTCACCCAACAGATGTGAGTCCGACCTTTTAAAAAGGGCAAAGATTTAAAAAATGTTTCCCCAGCACACGGGCTCTCTTCACTGTGCCTGCTCCTGTAGCTCATCTAGCAGCTTGGCCTACAGCCTTGGGGGCAGTGTTCTGCAGAGCCACTTCCTGGGTAGGCGCTGCACCCAGGTATCAGGCCAGACATCCACATTTCAAATGCTGTGACCGGATGGTGGCCCTGGAGGCCCAGCTCCACCCAGAGGCTCAAAGTGTCTAAATGGTGCTGCTCCATTATCTCACTGAAGGCTGTGAAATAGGCTGTGAGAGATTCTGAATTATGAACGCCCATCCCAGGACCTGGTTTACTTCCCAGAGCAACCCTGAGGTTATTGTCTTGCAGCTTTGATGGCCAGAACAGGCCTCCCGTGGCTTGGCAGCACCACAGGGGCCCACATGGGGTTCCAAGGCCACACTGGGTCACACGGGGCTGCGGGAGCAGGGGTCTATCCTGCAACTCTGTTTCCCTCTCCTGCAGGAAGTTTTCGGGAACAAAGTTTTTGCCCATCTTTTCTAGTTGGATTGCTGGTCCTGGCAGCCTCTGGGGTGTGTGGGGTCTGTGTGGTCTGTGTGTGTAAAAAGGAAGGTGCACACATGCAGGGCACCAGGCGTGGAGTGAGTCAGCTGCCCAAGTGCTGGCTCATCTGCCTCCCGGCCTCTGCCCCTCTCTGGCTCTTTGTCAGCCAAAGTACAGAGGCCACTGCGATGTCGTCTCAGTCTGCATGACTGGGCTGTGAGCAGCTCGCCCCTGGCTCCTGCCATGACATCCCCAGCCCCAGGCTCTACTTCTTCCTCCCTGGTTGCCTACCTGGAGCAGGAGGAGGCCCTGGGAGTCCAGCACACTCCAAGTGCCTTTCTGTCCTGGGCTGGAGGTGGCGCTGAGGTCCTCACCATGGCGTGGGTGAAATGTGGAAGCCAACAAGAGCAGCTGTTACTCAGTGTAACAACTGTTACTCAGGAGCAGTGGGCCTGCCTGTCATTGGCTTCTGTGAGCTGGGCAGGCCATGGCCAACCCTCCTGGGCCTCGGGTTTTATCAGCCAACGTAACTGGGGCCTGAGAGGTGCCCCCTGTGGGCCCTGCTGTCCTCCCCTGCAGGCCTGGCTCTGCAGAACCCTGAGAGACGGTGTGTGGTGTCGCAGTTTATATCCGTGGAAGGCCATTGGATTAGGGGTAATAGCGGGTTGCTGAGAGGAAGCGGCGATCGGAAGGGGTGGGTCTCTGTGGGCGTGACCCGGAAGTGTGTATCTACCTTCCAGCACCTTCCCTGAAGCTCTACTTCCGGTTCACCGTGCCTTGAGTGGCTGTCCTCCCTCAGGCCCCTCTGCCCTGCCGTTCTGCCTCGGAGCCTGCCGACCATGGGCTGCCAGAAGAGCAGCATACACCTCTCCTCTGGTAAGTCGGTGTCGCGCATTGTGTCCCAGCAGGGAGAAGGTGGCTCCGTGAGCCTCTGCTGCCTGGGGCAGTGAGGTGTGCAGTCATGGGGGACAGGATGAGTTCAAGAGGAACCTGGGGAGGGGTCGGAATGGAGGGAGCGGGAGCTGGTTGGCGTGCAGGGGAGGGAGCGCCAGGCAGGGTCAGGCCGAGGGGAGGCAGGTGTGGACCTGTGTGGCTGCCGTGAGGCCAGACTGAGGAATGGAGGCCGTGAGAGGAGCGCTCGTGAGCCCTGCAGGTCGGGAAGGCCTTGGGTCCCCACTTCTGACGCCTCTCATGGAAGAGGTTCTGGCCTGGCCCAGGTGCAGTGGTGGTGGCTGCTTGGGAGGTGGGAGGAGCTGAGGCCCCGGGACTCTGAGGGTCGATCAGGAGCATGTGCTGATGGCTGGCTAGTGCAAGAGACCCTGGGAGTCACTGCTTCCTGAGCCGGGGATGCAGGAAAGATCCAGGGTGCGCTGAGCGAGCTGCTGGCATTGGGGTGCTGCGGGCCGGCTGGGGGGACGCACTTCCGATGGAGGCCATCAGGATGAGCACGAGCTGAGTCCCTACCCGGCCACCTCAGCCTCCAGGCCAGCCGTCCCAGTGTGGGAGTGAGGGTGGGGAATGAGAAGCCAGGGCTCTCAGGGAGTGGGGGCGCTCCGGTCCCTGAGCAGGGCGCAGTGCACAACATTTTCTACTGCAAGGAGTTGCCCACGCCAGTCAGTCAGGGAGCAGGCGGCACTCAGGAGATGTCTCCCACGGTCAGAAGAGCGGACCCTGGTCACTGGGCCAGTAGTCTGGTGATGCCTACATGTGAGTGTGTCACAGCATCGCAGCAGGTTCTGAGGCCATGCACTGGGCCCTCCCCTGCCTGCTCCTACTTGGGCACTAGGGTGTCCCTGTGGGGAGCAGTCAGTAAGGTAATGCAAGTCGGGCACCTGGCCCAGGTGCCATGGGCAGAGTGCTCGGTAATGGCGGCCTCTCTCCCATCTACCCCCAGGCTGGTCTCCTGGTCTGTTTCTGCCCTTCAGGGATTACATGCTGAGGCATCCCTCAACCCCTCCAGCCTCTGGTCTTGCTGCGGGTCCCCTGGCACCCAGACAAATACAGCCTGAGTGCTTGTGCCTGGCACCCAGGGCCCGCCCTTTGCCCATGGCTGTGAGGTGAATGTGGCCTGTTGGAGATCTGGGAAGGGTTCTTAGAGCAGCGGCTGGGCCTGCCCAGGGCCCCCTGGCGATCCTGAGTCCTCTCCCCAGGTCCCAGGGTCTCAGAGAGCAGTGAGCCAGGGTGCATGGGGACACAGACAGTCCTTTGCTGGGCATGTCCACCCTGGCACTTGTCTTTGACTCTGCTCTTGCAATTGAGCCTCGCAGTAATTGAAAACATTCAGAAGGAACAAGCCAGATTAATTTTAATAATATATTTTATTTAACTCAGTTTGTAGCACGGGTAGTGTTCCAGAGTGGCCACAGGTGGCTAATGGCGGTTCTCCTAGACCTGCCCTGGCAGGGTCAGATGCTTTATGGCCCAGTGGTTCACGAGACTTGGGTTCAAATCCTGAGCACGTTTCCTAAGCTGCTGACTCCAGCTTCTTGGGTGGTGGGATGGCTGCACACACCTCTGTGTTGCATGGTCTTGGGAGGACTAGACAGGACTTGGGCACAGTATTGGGGTGTGGTGGGTTGGCTCTGTCTGAGATCTCTTCAGATGTGCATGCTGAGTGGAATGGTCTGGTTCAAGTTGTCGCTCTGCTGTTCACTGTGTTCTGTCTCTGCGCCTCAGTTTCCTCTTTTTTTTTTTTTTTTTTTTTTTTTTTTTTTTTTTTTTTTTTTTTTTTTTTTGGTACCAGGGGTCGAACTCAGGACCTTGCGCTTTCGAGGCAGGCGCTGAAACCACTGAGCTAAATCCTTGGCCCTTCAGTTTCCTCTTCTGTGGAGTGGGGATAAAAATAGCTCCTCCCCACAGTGCTGCTGTGGTGAAGAGAATTAATCAGCCCCAAGGAGGCATTTGCTAAATAAACACAGAGCTTAAAGGCTGGTGTTCCTCCCTGTGCAGGTGAATCTGCCTGTGCTCAGCGGGTGTTGGATTCTGAGTGTTGGGGTCACATCGCATGTGGCCTAGGACACAGGGATGGGGCCCTCGCAGGGCCTGCTAACCTGACCCCGCTGATGTGTTTTATTGGGTGCCTAGTCTGAGATCACGCACGTGCCAGTCCGCCTGGGCTGCTGACAGCAGTGTGAGACCTCTTAATTGGCTTCCAGTGTAGCCGCAGTCTTCCCCAGCTGGTTAACAACCTCGAGTAACGAGCTCTCTGCTCAGTATTTGTTTAGTGCTTTATTCATGGGCACAAAAAGGTGGTAGCATTAATTTCAGGGAGACTTTAATGACTGCATGTGTTTGGAGAAGTTCCCAGCTCCTGACCTTTAGGTGCGAGGTCTGTTTTGGGCCATGTGAAATGTTTGGCATCACTTGGAAGAAAGAAAAAAGAAGTGCTGTTTTCCTTAGAAATAGAAGAGGCATTTCACAGCCCAACATTATTATTATTATTATTTTTTTGCTTTTTGAGACAGGGTCTCACTATATAGTTGAGACTGACCTGGAACTCACTGTGTAGTCCAGGCTGGTCTCAAACTCATAGCGATCCTCCTGCCTCAGCCTCCCGAGTGCTGGGATTACAAGCAGGAGCCACCAAGCCCGGCCCAGCCCAACATTGTTCTACCAGGAAATGTTCATCAAAGTGCTGAAGGCAAACCTGTGGAAATTTCTAGTTCTTCCCCTAGAGGAAGGATTTGGGTTGTCACAACCAGAGCAATCATCCTGTCCCTTCATGTCCTGATCTCACCAGTCCACCAACCAGCTGTCATCTATTCATCCACCCCCCCCCCTTTATCGGTCTGCCCCCTACTGGTGTACATATCTATCACCATCAGTTCGTATGTCCACCCGTGGTGTTCATGTCCACTCCCCGCGCTTCTGTGCACCGCCCTGGTTGCCCATGGCACTGAGGTGAACCTCATTCCGTGACTGGCTTCTTCTCTTACCTGTTGCGCACCTATCTGGTTTCTGCCTGTCTGTGTCACCAGAGGGGCTTTGAGGCACACTGTGGGTGCAGGAGCCAGGAAATCCCAGAACCCTGGATCTTTCTTGTGCTGCTTGAGTCCCTGTGACTTCTTTTCAGATTCCTTGGGGTTTGGAAGGCCCCGGGGTCCAAGGCTTGCTGGAGAAGAAGCCAGAGACTGTAACTCTCTACCTCTGGAAACAGGAAAGATTGAAAACAAAAAGATTATCACTTCATCTTTTGTTTTTCTATTAAAGCAGTTATGTTTCCTCTCACTCTTCTGAAACAGGGGTCAAGCGTCCCTCCTGTTTCTGACCTCCTGAGTGGGAGAGAAGCTGATTATGACCAGGTCAGGTACACAAAGCCCCTGTTTGAGTGACCCCACATTCTTCCTTTTTAAATAAAATTTAAGACCATCCAAAACGACTTGCCAGACTGACCTCTGGCCTTTGATTCTCTGCTGAGTTTTTGCGCAGCCTGTTGGCCCAGCCTGCTAATGTGCTGGGGTGAATGCCTCGCCTGAGGAGGTGTTAACGCCCTAGGTGTGTGTCAAGGCGTGTGTTGGCCCCTTGTCTGCAGCCAGTGAGAAACCTCCCGGTCTGCCTCCTGCCCTTGGTCCTAAGTGATGGCAGCCATGTGAAGATGCACCCGAGGGAGACAGGGTTTCCTGTCTGTGCTTCACGCTGCGGTGTTGTCCTTGGGAGCTGATCTCAGAAACTCCTGGCAGCCGCCCCCAAGGTGGGGTGGAGGACCTCCTGAATCCGGGCTCTTATGCAGCCCTTCCTCTTTGTTCCAGGTTGTCGGTGCAGCTAAAGGGTTTGCAGAAATGACGCAGTCACTTCGAAGATTAAGTCATCAGAGGCACTGAGGCTTTCACTGTGCTCACTCTCGTTTTTCTCCCTTTTATTTTGGGTCTGGTCCTTTGCTTGAGGAAGCCAGATGCTCTGTCAGAGCAGTGGCTATGGAGAGGCCCAGGGTAAGGAACTGTAGCCCCTACAGCCTTGGGGGGAGCCCTCAGGGGACCCCGAGTCACAGCCATCAGGTCAGGTATTTGCTTCTGTCAGAAGGCTTTGCTATTCCATGACAGGTAAAGGGAAAGAATCAGGCTGGTAGCTTTTGAGCGTCAACAGTAACAACAGCTCCTGGTTGCTCTGTCCTACCTGCTGGTCGTTCCACGGGTGTCCGCTCACCTGACCTTCATCTGTCCTTACGTGTGGCAGCTGAGAGTGGTGCAGCCTGAGGTCACACAGCCAGGCTGAGTTAATGTGGGCTTCATCCTGTAGATTGGTCTCTCAGGATCCCATCCTCACTGGGGATGGAGCAGACCCGAGAGCTCAACACTGTGCCCTTCAGACTGTGGCGTTCATGTTCTCAGAGAAGGAGAAGTAGATAGGTTTTTCCAGATAATGTGTTCATGTTAAAAGAAACAAACAAAACTCTGAGCACTGGAGGTGTGGCTCTACCACTGTACCGCACTTGCCTAGCATGGACAGAGCCCTGGGTTTGATCCCCAACACGGGAAAAGGCATTCAAGTGGAATTGTATTGAGTCCTGACTTCAGAGATGCTTGCTTTGGGAAAAAGAGAATTCCATGAAGGGAAGTCTTTCCCCCATTTCTGGAGAAGTGCTGTTTTGAAGGCAAAAGAAAAATTAGTTACCTAAAATATTACGGTTTGTGTCTAGGTGTCCCCCACAGCCTTATGTGCTCATAGGTGGGTCTTTTCAGATCTGGCTGGATTACAGTGTGTGATACTGGGATTAAGAATGTGAGGTACTAAATTAGCCCACTGGTTGGTTTAGCATAGTTCTGGGTGTGGATAATGGGAAGGCCCACCCAGAAAGCTTGTAGCCAGAATGGGATAAAAAGAAAAGTGTGGCTTGCTGTTTTGCTATTGCCACTGCGCCTTCTGCCTGCACTGCTGTG